TTTGTGACCGAAAACTTTTAATTTCTTCCAAAGGCAAAAATTAATTTTATTTAGACTTTAGGTTTGTGGTATGAAAACTCCTCTAAAATACTCTTTTACCATATCTTAATCTGTATATATTCCTCATTGATCTTTCTTTCCTAACTCAATTATTGAATGACAAATTAAGAGATATACTGGAAAAACTTTACCAATGATAAAGATATCTGATTAATCACTAAACTATCTTACTATTCTCCGTTTCACTTTAAAAGTAAGCTTAACCGACAAACAATAATCTCTCAATTAACATTTTTTTTATGAACATCGATCGTTTCTTCAAACTAATTCTTATTAATATACTGTTCTGATTTGTGCACCTAGGAGGGAAGAGTACCGAGTGTTTTATATAAAAGATTGCTTTTGAAAATGAAGTTGAACTTGTTCTGTTGTTCTTAATAAATATAATAATAGAAAGTGTACGAAAATATAGTTCCTCATTCTTTTCAATTAATATCTTTTGTTGTACGTACGAAGAAAAACAAAGAGAGGCGACGATGAGCATGATAAGAAGAGCATTGTTTTAGTAATGATGTTATCGAGAACTAGAAACAGATGAGGCAAAGAGAACATACTCAATGAGTCAATGTGAACACAACTATAAGTACTCTCAACAAACTATTTATTCATTAAAAAAAGTTTAAAGACATTTTTTTCAATACGAATTATCTCTATTGTATGTCGGCGATAATCCGGAACATAAAATCATTAATCTGGATGATGACAATAGGTAAGGTTTCGCTTAAAGATACTGTTTTGTCCTTCAACATTTGAAATTATATTTCCTGTAGAAATACGCTCGTAAACGTCAATATCTCCTGATGTGTTTTTTAGAATGCTGACGTAATTCATGAATTCGATATGACCATTATAATGCTTCTATCAAATGGGTGATTTATATTTCGTTTACGGTCGTAATCTTACAATGTATGGGTGTTTCGAACATTTATAATCGTCTTAACCATAGATAATTTAAAAGCTCATCATTTTTTCTCTTTAATATAGAATAAAAGGCATGTTAAAAATCTAAACATTTGTTTTTCAAATTTTTATACGAGATTAATATGAAATAGTATCGATACAGATTCAAAGTATAAATCAAATTTTACACATACTTTCAAGATTGGTTAATACACCGTTTAATGTAATTCCATGATATGTTAATGATATTTCATCGATTGTGTGTTCAATAAAAAATATATAGTTACGTGCCAATGTTGTTGGACTATTTATTGTATCGATATATTCTTGTTTAAGTATTACAGATAGTGTATGTGAAGCAAACTGTATTATTCGTTCCTTTGCATAGACTATCTGATCGCATATATTATAAAATTGTTTTTCTTTTAAATGATAAAATATTTTCATTTCGAATGTTAAATTAAATAACAATGCGAGAGCATATGACATAAGACCAACATCACCATGAAATAGTCCATCATTCATGCACACACTATTCATTAATGATTCTTCGCCTATGATATCTGCCATTCGATCGACCATCGTATAGTCTTTTCCTTTAAATAAGACAGGGAATATATGCTAATTTAATCATATCTATTGATATATCATTATGGAGAAACTTCGTCGATTATGATGTATTAATCTTATAGTAGTTAGACTCTAGCTATTTTCTGGTTTTGTACTGGAATATGTCGCAATGACAATACCATTTGGCATTTATCGGAAATGATTTTGGACTTGAATGAACTACGTATCTGTTCTTATTGTTATGATTTACACTTGGAATACGTTGATAACATTAGCTTAAATCGAATGATTACGATAGAAAGAAATATTTAGATGAAAACTAAAATACTTGAACATTTGTCTGACAAGATACGAATCTCAGAAGACAATGCAGGAATTTATAGGTTTCTCGAAACTACAAGTAAGTGTAATGTGTACACTCTTACAGAATACTGGAGAAAACTACTTCGTATCTTATTGTTCTGCTACTAGCAAGATATGCCTCTAACCTTTGAACAGTCTTCAGGGAGTGGAGTTTATCATTTGATTAAGGACTCATGGAATAAATAATTATGAAATGCTATTATGTTTGAGGGTTTAATTCGGATAAATGTTTAGTAGTATTTCTCTTTCTATTCCTAGTTTGTAAGACTTATCTCTGTGTAATACTTGTATGGTTGTCAAGAATTCTGAAAAACTTTTGACTTGTATCTACTAATCGAAGTCTTTAATAGCGTATTTAACTGAAGATTACAGGTTTCAACAATTCAGATATGATGTGAAGTATATTATCGATCATCTGATGTAATTTAAGAACAGTAGTTTCAAAAGTTAGACACATCACTTCTAGATTGTGCTTAAAGCGTAAGATGGAAAGCGATTAAAAATTTAATAATATCGATGTCGATCGTCAATACTGAATTCGTATTGCAACATCCTTACAAAATTTATACTCTCGATGTATCAGAAAAGATTGGAGTATTGCACGATTGTTTTGTTTTCTATGGATCTTGATCGAAGAAGAGACTCCGATATTAGAATGATGGTTCTTTATATATATATATATATATATATATCTTATCGCTTAACATTCTGTTGTTCCATGTTTAAGTCCTACAGATGATCTCAGTGATTTTCTTTGTTGCCATGCTTGATAAAGTTTTAAAATAAAATGCATATTGACTAACTATAACTGGACATCGTTAAGTTTTTCAGTTTTTCCTTGAAACTTTGAGGAAATAATCCCCGTTTTCATAGGGCCAGTCCAAATATTCGGACTTGTGGGAAAAGAGTCCGCGCCCTTAACCAAAAATTGAATCATAATATTATAAAACATGCCACTGATAAGAACGGAACATTTTACTTAATATGTAGTTATTTTAAGCCCCATAATTTCAATGTTACTTTCGGTTGAGTTGCAAAGCATCAATACATTTTGTTTTTGTTTCTAATATGAAGTCAACGAATATGATTCCAACATGATTTATAAGGATTCATCGGTAGGTATTTCCTATCGACTGATAACTAGTGACTATTATAATCAAAGATGGGTAAAACATTCAACGAGTTAGTGACATAATTTTCTGATTTCAGATGCATCGCGTAGTGAAAATTGTTTGGGACCGCTAACATTTGTGCGATTGGTACGAATGTGATATGGTTGCAGGTGAGGAAAAACTCATAAAATGATCTGCCGCCTTATCCATGCGTTCGTAGTTAACTCAGTCTGTTCCATTTCAGTAACTCTCATATCATATAGGAGACATTCATAACGAAAGTACAAGATAACATCGGATCTTTCGATCTCCTTTCACCATCTGCTTTACATCCATTATAAAAACAACTCATTTCTGAAAAAAGGGCGCTTATTCAAATTTACTTTCTTGTTTTCATGTAATATCAACCAGAAGTCGAACCTATTGCAAAGGCTTTTTCAAAATACATTCAATTTTAATGAGCTTAATGCGTTAAAAGTGTAAAACGAATGAAATTCTTTGCCAAAGACCCGCCAAAACATGACAACATTCACATTTATGCTTCGCAAAATAACTGATCTATTCATGTTGTATATGATCTACCATTGCTTTAAGATCATATTCATATCCACTTAAGTGATTAAATTGACTTCCTGTTTAAAAATATTCTTGAAAGCAAGCAAGATCTCGAGATTTCCTCAAAAACAATTTGAAATACAATTTCCATATCCCAGGCGAACAAGCATCTCGAAAAAGCACAAACTTGTTCGAGTTTCGGTCGATATTCAATTTGGTCAGAACTTGCAGTGAAAATAACACAATTTCCATCGTATTTGAAGCATTTTGTCTCAAACATTTGCATTCATACACTTCATATTACGTGAAAACATTAGCAAAATGTATCTTGTTAGCACTAATTGAGATCAAATTTTATATTGACCAACTCTCGGACTACTTCGTACTTTTTCAAGATGCTGTTTAACCAGGCAATAAGTCTTTGAACCTCTAGAAATATACGATTCTACTGTCCATTTATCCAACGTTGTTCATTTTCGATAGATTTCCTTTATAGAAGATCTCTCATGTGCTGATTCATACCTGTTATATAATGTACACGTGATTTTGGTGTTAAAGCCAAATGATTCAAAAATTCGACATGCCAAGCAATTGCTTGCATTTTCGCAAGATTAAAAATACCTTCATCATGTAGTAACATTGATAAATGTTGCTCAAATATTTGTTTAGAGTATTCTATAAATAATTTGCATAATAAATTCGATATTTCATCTTGCCGTTTTTGACCACGTAAACGAATAAATTCTGGGCAATCGTGTATGAAAAATAATTGTTTGGGTGTTAAAATCGTTTGCCATGGCTCGATTGTTTGAAAAGAATCATGATAAAAATTTGAGCGTAAACAATTGAGTACAGGATCGATTAAAATATGAAAATTTATATCATTCAATTTTGTACATAGGCGAATCAAACGACCGATAGCTTTATATTTAACATGGTATGAATTATAGTCGTTTACTGATAAATCATTATTGATAATTGAACTTAATTTTGTAAACAAAGTTTCTATGAGAAATATATTTTGATAAGATATTTGATCATCTAATTGATTTAAATCATTCATTTTCAATAGTTCATTACTGGCCGTATAGAAACATTTGATTGGTTTATTTTTATAAAGACATAAATTAGTTATTAAATAACTTATCTCATGAAAACATTCTTCTTCTTCTTTTGTCATTAACATATATCTTGCTTTGGTCAATAACATTTCAAAAGTTCGTCCAATAATAAGCAAAAATTCATGCTTCATAAGATCAACATTATCGAACAGTTTTAATGTATTGATCGATGATAGATCATTGCATATTGAAGAAAGAACACGAAAAACATCTACTCGATTTCGCATTCCATTTAGACATAATACAATACCATCGAACATTTCTATAAGATTTTCAATAGTTACATTTGTTTGATCTTTACGTAATTGTTTTAATATCGATAAATGACGTTGTATTAAAGAATTCATTTAAACAGATAAATAATTGTATTTCTATTTTTATAATCTAAAACAACCGTACTCAAACAATGTGAAACTTAATCAAATACATCTGGTGTATAAGTCTCAATTTTGTAAGTTAAATCATGGAAATTAATGTGTAAACGTATGTTATAAACAGTACTATGGCATGTCTAGTATTAAGAATGAGAAAATGTAAGCATTCATTACAATAGAAAAAAATTGTTAACGAAATCCGTGCGGGATTAACATCTGAGATAGAATGTATCTTGGTTTCCTAATCACATTAAAATTAGTTTACTTCATCGATCAGAGGATATATTTCTTCATTATTGTTTCTGGAATTCTGTATAGCTGTTAGAAGAAATTGACTAGTAGAATGCAACAAAATCTAAGCAATATACCGTATGTGATGGTCCTCAGATACCGTCTATCACGATAGGTGGAGGGTTCGAAATTCTGTCCTATTTAAATACTTCAACACTTCTTTCGGGCCATGTTTTACAAAAACATATGAATAATATTTGTATTCCTTATCTTAATTTTTCGTTGTTTTTATCCTCGATAAAAGAATAAAGTAGCTCTATTTTCGCATCAAACAACTTCAAAGTTACTTCCTATAACTACTAAAGTGATATTTAACATTGCAATTTTGAAAATAGATTATAAAACGGCTTGCTTTCAATTACTTAGTATTTTCTTGTACACGCTCAGTATGATTTATTGCTCAGTAAAAAATTAATTTTAGCACCGTAAATAGTTAGAAAACCTCAGAAATTTCCTTAAACAGACTCAGTATTGGAGATAGTTGGCATAGGTTCAAGTATCGATGGCGGTTTTTCTATAGAGTTCAACAGTACCAAAAGTTACAAGCAACGAAACGTATAACTCTGGTTACTAAAGTGAGAAAAAGAAAGAGCGGTTTCGGCTCGACTCTCCAAAATTTACATAAAAACGAGATTGTTAAATTATGAAGTAGATACGAAAGTTTTAAAAAAATTTTGAGAAATTTTCACTAGTGAATTGTGGAGATTAAAGATGCTACATATTTCAATACTAATGAAAACAATATTATACACACATACTAAAATGTTTAATCTCAAGAGTAAAACAGATGAAGATTTCTTTACATAGATTTAAGAATTTTTGTATCTATCTATTTAACATCTTTGTATCCTTTAACGATTCTAATATATTTTTTCACCGGTTTCAATTTGAAGAAATTTTAGAAACTCATTTCTTGATATCAGTTTGTTTTCTAGGTCACCGAATCCACTCTCCCTGTCAGTAGCATCCACAGTTACAAGTTATAAAATTTCCTGAGCAGTAAATTATACTGAACACCTAATTTGTTTCCTTATAAAACTACGCATACTTCCACTGTGCGAAAATTATTATTATGATCGTATGCTTGGCTTCCAATTTCTAAATATTCTTCTTCATTTGTTAATTTCTGCTATTGCTGGAGATTGTAAGATTGTTAGTTTTGTCCAGGAAATCCATTCGTTTATATGATAAAATTTCGATCTACTGACGCATTTTGTCCATGGAAACCAAGACGAACGAGTGTTGTGCGATACGATCTGAAAGAAGTGTTAATTATATAGGGTGAAAATCTGTATTCCCACTTTTCTATTTCATACTATTACAGATGTTTTTGATACATGATTAATATTCATATATCAGTAGTATCTCGAGAGAAAATATTCTTGTGATTGGTACGAATATCTACATTTTGCTTCACATTTTAATTTCATACGGATAGTGGTAAAAGCTTTTTTATTGAATGGCATAAACACAAATACCCTCGAGTCAGAATAAATGAAATTCCAGGCAATAAAAAGCTTCTAGGATTATGTCTTCTTCAAAACAAAAAAGAATGCATAGAATGACTAAACTTTTGAACTTGAAATACAGTATAGTTAGGTTGAATAAAAATTGAATCATCGAATATCAATGATTTGTTTTTATTTTATATTGTCTAATTTGCTTCACATAGTCTTTTAAATTCGATTATATTTTGAATCTTCTTTTGAATAAATTTTTGTAAGTGAGGATCACGTCGTCTTCTTTTCCAACGTGGATTATTCGTATTGTCTAATTCATTGAGTTTTCTTATTTCATTTCGTGTTTTTAATTCTTTATCATTGTAACCTTGTACACTGGGTAAGTTTTCATCTATTCGATTTTCTTTAATATCAGTAAATATTTTTAATCTTCTTTCAAATATTCGTTCCCAGAGTTCGGATTCTGAATGTCTATATTTTCCTTTTTCTTTTTTCAACCTTCTTTTGTATTCTTTCAGTAGTTTTTTATCTTCACTGATATCCCAAGCACGTTTGCCTCGTTTTAATCCAGTAGTAAAATTTGGAAAATTTTTGATTTTGTCTTTTTCTATTTTATCTTGCTCATGAATCTCATTCGATTGATTATTCTCTTCCATTTGGAGGCGAAGTAGTCCCCTCTTTGTGGAGAATAGAGCATCTCGATTAATCAAATTTTGAAAGTGACCATGAGCTTCATCGTATGTAGGCCATGAACCTATGACGTGTCGTGATGCTGCAACATAATCAGTTGAATCGTCAAAATGGTCATTATCCTGTTCATCATGCTCATCAAGTTCGATATATCCATTTCTTACCCACCATGGATTTTCGTTTAGATATGGATTTTCGAATGGAGCATCGTTTATATCACCAGTTAACGTAAATGGTGGAAGATTACCGAAGTTTGCATTGCCATTCTGTGCTTTTTCCAGCCAACGTTCAATAGATAATCGAAAATATTTCAAATGAGAGTCAGTTTCTAGAAAGCATACTAGAAAAGTGAGCCAATTGTTACATGTACTACATTAAAGCTATTGGGATATCTAATTCTGCTCTTTCATTTGTGAAGTTCTATTTCAAAGTATTTGCATATTCATATTGGAAGAAAAATAATGCTCACATCACTTTTCTGCTAGGCATTCTTATAATACACACGAAGTCAAAGAATTGATTCTGGTGGAAAAAAATCCACAGAAAAACATTGACAACTCAAGTTCTGAGTAATGTACAGGACTGAAATTTAGTTTCTGGAGTAGAACAAGCATTTCTCTCATATTTTATGTATGACTCATTGTAAAACGCTCAGCAGGCATCTTAAATTAAAAGTGATAATACTGTGGGAGTCAATTTTCATCCAATTCCTCTTTGATTTTGGATTTTCTGCTTAATGTACCCTTTGTTTCCTATTTCTGCGGTTCACATATAAAATAGACATAAATCTCAGAAAAATGTCAATTTCATGTTTAAAATATCTTCTATTTCAAATAAAAAAAAAAACTTATCGTTTGAGTCCTTGTGCCATGACGAATCAAATAATGTTTTGAATAGTTTTAGAAAATGTTCTCACTTTTCGGCAGATTAAAGATGAAAGCCTACAATTTTTTTTCATTTCTCATTTTTGTATTGAAGATTTGATAAACATGATAAATTCGACTTTTTCTAAAGAAAAACATTACTTGATATGCTGTATCACGAGGAGGAATGAAATGGTATGCTGTTTTTTTTTTTGCAATAGAGGTCATTTAGGATGCACAGTTAAAGTTTTTCTGAGATTCATCGCTATTTTATATATAAACAATAAAAATAGGAAAAAACATACGTTGACCGAAAGATAAAAACTCAGACAGAAGAATAGAATAGAATAGAAGTTTTCTAATATTCTATTGTGTTTTTCAATCAACCTATAGAGAAATGTTTAGGCTACTCTGAAGACTGAAATTCCATTGTGTGCGACATTGGGTAGTTGAGCTATCTACAGTTTACGAAAGAAGTTTTTTTCCTGTAGATTTAAGTTTAGCGACTCTAACTCCATTCTACATTTTCTTATCAGTGAATCTTACCTTCTGTACGATTTTCTTCTATGGATGACAGCTGATGTTCAGAAACTTGATCATTGTTTTCTTGTTCGCTTCCCTCGCCGAATTGACCCTCAGGTTCGGTTGAATCATCCTGCTGTTTTTCTTCTTTGTTTTCAACTTGTTGATCTTCGGGAGATTCATCGTGATATTTGACTTCTTGATTGTCTGCAAATGCATCGTCCTGATATTGGAAATCGCGATCATTGCAGTTTAATTCTGAATGTTGTCTCGCATTTGCATCATTTTCAGAAAATAAACGATTGTGTTTCAAATCTTCAACAACATCCTTTCAAGTTTTAATTATATCAGACAATTCATCATCAGGAATTTTTTCATGCACTCGAATTGTTTCTATTTGTCTCTGGTAAATTTGTTCACGTTCAAGTCTTTCTCCCGCTGTTATTTTTGTTTCAAAATTCTGTTCAATACGATCTTCCTGTTGTTCTTCCATGGATTCTACTCTTTCAGTTTTGGTACATATTCGACCAACAATACCGGATTTTGTATAGAAAAGCTACAAATGAGAAGTTTTTTAATAAAAACTAAAGAGTTAAACAGTATTCAGTCTATTTTATTCGACTAATTTTGTTAAATATTTGTTTATGTTCAGTCAAAAATGAACGAATCTTGTGAAAGCTGCATTCACAAACTGTATAAACAGACCGTTCTTTTTCGAAGAGAT